TAAAGTAATTTTCATTTTAAGATTAAAAATACATTTATGCATCAGAAAATTTTGAAATTTCACATGAAAAATCTTTATAATGTCTGGATAGTTATCAAGCATTTCTTAAGAAAAAAACTTTATATATTTTATCTGTTATTTTCAGTAATTAATCTCTGTACAGGTTTGGTAGATTTGAACGATCTCGTAACCACCATAAAAAATAAGGAAATAAACATATACCATGCCTCTTTCCTTCTAGAATGAACATAAATTATAACACAAAAACATAAATGTTTAGATGAAATAGGTTAAATCTCATAACCTTATACATTTATATATATTTATTGTTTTTATTATACTGATCTTTCAGCCTTTTGCTAGGAACTGGAAAGTGGTAAAGACTCTCATACTCCATTAGAATAATTAGGGGGTGAAAATGCTGTGGAGAGTCTGGAGGAATGCCGACACCAGAGGCAATGCATTGGGTGACCACGAAAGCCCTATTTTGAGAAGCAAACCACCCCTGATTTATTCAATCGAAAGAACGGCAAGGGTGTGCAGCTATTGCCTTCTGCTTTACCCATGCAAATGCATGAGTTAGTATGGTCTGGAATAGGCAAATTAAAGAAGCAAATATATAATGAGGAACATCTACTAGCAATCTTGCAGAACACCCCATCTGTGTGTTATTGGCCATGAATCTACATCAAAATTGTTGGAATCAGTCTCCTCCTGAAGACAGCTTCAGTGGGATGTCCCAAACAACCCTATCCAAGCTACCCCACACAACTTCATTCTACCCTAGGACCCAAACTCAGAAGAGGAGTGACAGGAGTAGCCAGTAATAACCCATTCAACATCAACCGTGGATAGGACAACACAGAGGTAGGAGTGCAGGTATCACCAACAGATTGACCCTTGAAACCACAGTAAGTAGGATGATCCAATTTGTGATCTCACACCATCAACCCCCGGGACCCACCACACGAAGGTAGTGTGACAATCACTATGCAGGAGATAATCACATATTGATGGCTATATGGATTAGAAATTTGTCCCTTAATTCCTTTTTTTGTCATTACACTTTTACATTTATTCCTAACTTTCCCTTTGAAAGGCACTTGGTCAAAACTTTTAATATACATATTATTTCTTATTCAAACCATTTTGTTTTATGGAACTAACAAAAATATAGTAAACATCCCTTGTAAACAAACAGTATTATAGCATAAATTCAAACCTGAAATCTCTGGAGAAAGGAAAGCATTTTGTTTTGGAGCTCAACAGGAATGATGACACTACATGTAGCATATCTCTTTGCTAATAAGAATTTTTTTCTTGTGGTGTATACAGGATTGGATGACTATCCTTGGTTAACACTCCTTGCTGCTTCAACCACTGTAGCATTGTAGTAGCAGCCACAGTTTCAGCTTCTACTTTTCTCATACCTGTGGCTTCGACAGTGTGTTTGGATGGCCAGTGAACTGTCAGCTCAGTCTTCCATCCCTTAAGGTTTTTACCAACTGTAATAATTAATAATAAAAAACTTGCATCAATTTGAGATAAACTATATCTTTAAGGAAACAGTACCAGTAAATCAACAACCTGCAAACATAAAAAAACATTACAGGGCACTCAGTTTCCTTATTCTAAACAGTAAAGTGTGGGTGAACGTTTATACACACTAAAAGTAAAATACAGATATTTTAAAGTTGACAAATGTTAATGCAAGTTTTTGTTCTTCAAAATGCTAAAGCAATCTTACATATATTGCAAAGTGTGATTTCTATCTAAGCATTAATCTGTCTCCTGTTTAGGGTGGCTGCTTCCCGAGCTGTATTTGAAAAGCCACGACACAGGCAAAACTCAATATTCACCTTTGAAATGACGAGAGAACAGGCATGAATAGTGTTGATGCCAAATGTTATTTCGCAAGCAGGATATTTTACATGATATTGTTAGGAATTAATCACACTATTATTCATATTTCTAAATATGTACATTTACCGTATATTATTGTTGAGTAGCTCAACAATTACTTTTCACAGTGGGGGTATATGTAGATCAGAGTTTTTGCTCTGAGTGAAACCAAGAATGCAGCATAATTAACCTTTTTAAAGTCCTGTACAATAATTTAAATTGATAGATTAACTTTTTCCTGTTACTGGAGGCAGGTATTTTTGCTTGTTTTTGCTAAGCTAAATAATTTGCTATGCTAATGACTAAAAAAAAACCCACAAATTTACTGTGTAAGGATAGTATGAAATTACTATATATCTTGTGAGTTATTTAAAGACACTATGTCAAAACTTGTACATTTGTATCTGTTGACAGGCTTTTACAAAACTAGAAGTTAAATACTGCCTGGAAGAACAAGTATTTATTATGAAAAGCTGTATCTTATTTGTACCAAAACAATTTTGATTCAGAGGATTAAAAACTTGAGAAATAAAATGAAAGAACAGAAATTTTCATTGCACTTAAAAAAAAATCAACATATTCAGTTAAATTATATACATAAACTTTTTATTTCTAATTTTGTGGAATAGCAACAAGCATTGAAATAGTGAAGTAAGGATAAAAAAAGATTTGAATTTACTAAAAGCAAAAATTTTGCAACCAAACCTTCAACTAATTATGTAGAGGAAGCAAGTCTAAACCTATTAAAATCTAGAACTTGCAAACTGACCTTCAAACAATGACATAGAGAAAGCTTGTCTGAACTCACTTGACTCTTGAGCCAATAAGACTAACCTTTAAATAATGACGTAGAGAAGGCAGGTTTGAACTCGTTTGAACCCAGAGTATTGCAGACATTTGTGAAAATGTTAATCAGGGCAGATTTTGGTTGCACTTCCACTTTTTTATATGGAATCCACTCAGTTTCTGCAGGCGTCAGACTAAGTCTGTTATTTTCATCAAGACCTCCTAGTTCCTGTCAAAAAGCAAACCAAAAATTAACCTGTAATGAGCACAGTTAATTAACTATACTTTTCTTATGTTCTTACTTGCAAAGGTTAGAATGCATTGCTTCATCAGTTGGGTACAGTCATTTATTCCTAAATACAAATATTAAGCAAAGAATGTCAAACAATCTTTATAAAAAATTAAGATGAATAAAAATTAAAGATTATAAAAGTAGATATTCCAAATATTCCATACACCACTGCAAATGAAAATAACAATAATGAAATAATAGAGTATAGCTTAGTTGTTGAAAGTTATTATTTTTCTACACTGAAAATATATTTCTGATAGGTATTTACCTCTTCTACTCATATAGCTATTTTTTTTCAGTGCTGCCCTGTATATGCAAAAAGTTTTTCACATGCCACAAGCCTTGAACTCCCACTTACCCCATGATTAATGTGGTTCACAGTGACTTTGTATGTAAATCATCATGTGACAACCCTCCACTAATAAGAGTGTCACACACTCTCCTGATGCAGGTGTCTTCCTCTGTTTGATTCTGTCAAACTATCACTTCAAGATTAGGCAGAAAGGAAGCACCAGTTTTACACGGGGAGGAAAGTTGTGAAGTGTGAAAGGAGATAAGTACCTTTCGGAAATAAATTTTCAGTGTAGGAAAATAATAACTTCCAATACGATATTTTACCTCCGCTCACACACATATAGCTAGAACCCAACATTGTATAGGTGGAGGGACCGGTGCAAGGGATATAGAGAAGTATCATTTGAAAACATCTGAAGAACATACTGGAAGTGTGACCCCCATTGGGAGAGGAACACGTGGGAGACTGCAGCACTTCTGTACCAGGTATACTTTTCACCCAGTGTGGAAAGAGGTGTCATATACATGAGCAGAAAGTAGGAGGAGCATATAAAAAAACACACGAAAAAAGGATATGTCCCCATCTTTTAGAAATGCTAGGGCAAGTTGGACCATATACAGCCGGTCAACACCACTCCAAAACCAAGTGGCATCAGGCATAAATCTTCTGACTCATGGAAGGAGGAGGGTCCACACTGCCTTCACCTCAAGTTGAGCACAATGGAAGGACATATGTACCTAGCCAATCTACAAACAGAGCATGTTTGAATCCACAACCACAAATAGTCATCCAGGGACCTCTGAATTATAGTAGGAAGGGAAAGGCCAAAGTGGTGGTTCACAGCAAATCCAAATTCCATCAGACTGCTATGTGGAACATATACTTCAGGTAGTAAAACTCCTGTGGTTGATGTAACAGAAGGATAACATTTACCCTGAACAAACTCATCATCCAGATAGGGCCACATAGAAGTGGGAGTGCATGCGAGTGCAACATCAACCTCCAGGACCCACCACATGGAGGTGGAGATTATGAGGCTAAACTGCTAGAGCAATGTGATGGATCTATTCAAAAGCAACATCATCCTCTGGATAGGACCACACAGGAAGTGGAGTGCAACATTAACCACCTGGGCCCACCACATGGAAATGGATTGCCTCCATTAAATATATGCAACCTTGCCCTCTGGATAGAACTGCACAGTAGCTGGCTACATCAACTACTGGGACCCACTGTACAGAGGTGGAGCACATGATATGAGGATTGAACACCATCTACATCAGTAGATCAACACTGCCCTACTCTCCAATGAAGTGAAAGGATCACATTCAGGAGGACTCCTCCAAGGTACACCACCCGGTGGGTCCCGGGGGTTGATGTTGTGAGATCACGAATTGGATCATTCTATTTACTGTGGTTTCAAGGGTTGACTTGCTGATACCTGCACTCCTACCTCTGTGTTGTCCTATCCATGGTTGATGTTGAATGGGTTATTACTGGCTACTCCTGCCACTCCTCTATGAGCTTGGGCCCTAGTGTAGAATGAGGTTGTATGGGGTAGCTTGGAGAGGGTTGTTTGGGATGTCCCACTGAAGCTGTCTTCAGGAGGAGACTGATTCCAACAACTTTGATGTAGATTCATGGCCAATAACACACACTGTTGGGATGGGGTGTTCTGCAAAATTGCTAGTAGATGTTTCTCATAATATATTTGCTTCTTTAATTTGCCTATTCCAGACCATACTGACTCATGGACTTGCATGGGTAAAGCAGAAGGCAATAGCTGCACATCCTTGCCGTCCTTTCGATTGAATAAATCAGGGGTGGTTTGCTTTTCAAAATAGAGATTTCGTGGTCACCCATTGCATTGCTTCTGGTGTTGGCATTCCTCCAGACTCTCCACAGCATTTTCACCCCCTCATTATTCTAATGGAGTATGAGAGTCATTACCACTTTCCAGTTCCTGCTGCTAGCATGGAGGTAGTGTGTCAAAGTCACTAGGCAGGAGATAATATACTCCGATAATGACATATTGATGGCTATACAGTGCAGAATATGAGAGAGAGACGGAAAATTTGCAACACTGAGTAGGATCCTAGACCTAAAAGGGATATGCCACTGGAAAGAAAAATAAGATGTAGAAAAGATAACTTAACAAGTCACCGCCACACTGATCTCTGGAGAATGGCAACAGGCAGAAGGCAATACCATGATGAGAAAGAAACAGCCACCAGATAAAGGTAGTGGGAGATGAACGTATGAGGTGTAGTCCACATACCAGACTGAAAAATTTCTTCCAACAAATGATGGAGGTGAGACACCAAGGAAAAGGTAAGGTGCCTGATCTGATGACACCTGGGATAGATTATGGGATGAAGGAGACAGTCTAGTAAGTTGATGAACCCAACCAGTAAGTGTAGAAGGAGAAAGGTCACATACAGAGGAAAGTTACCAGGGGATGAAACAGGTGGAAATGGGAACCATGAAATAAGGCTATGTAAGCAACGTAACAAGGAAGAGCACGATTTGGACATGGAAGCCTATCCAGATCAGATTGGGAATAAAGGTTGGAAATAGAGGGAACAGAACTCGTCAAGAAGAAGAATGTCCCTCAAGAGCTGCTGGTTTTGGGTAGGAAAGATTAATCTGGATAAAGGAAAACATATGCGGAATGGAACAGAGTAAGTGAAACATCAATGGCAAAGCTATCAGACCACAGTCATGCTCACAGTCTAAAAGGAATATGATATAAGTCTGAAGGGGTAAGTGATACAGGGAACATAGGTATAATGGTTCAAAAGGTGGGAGAGTAAGACAGTGAAGAACAATATTGACATTCCAATCCAGAAGACCTGCCTGATGAGGAGGTCAACGAATTCAGAAAAAATACAATACAAGGGAAACAGTAGGAGAAGAAAATACCATACAGTAACTGGAAAAATGAAAGGTTTTGGATAGAACTATTCTATAACATGATCACAATTTTTAGTTATGTACAAGTAAACCAAAGCAATGATTAGTTAAAGTTCAATCATATACAAACTGCAAGCACAATATATTGTTCACATGAAAATGATAAACTTAAAGAGCATAG